GGGGGGGGGGGGGGGGGGGGGGGGGGGGGGGAAGCCTTTAAAACGACAGCTTGGGGCCGGGCCTAGTTAAGGACCCGGCGAGGATTCGGTTACCTGATTCTTCCCGTAGTTGCTGACTCCCCCCCAAAAGAGAGAGGGAGGCTCGGGAAGTCCTGAGAAACTGATGGCGCGGATTCCTAACCGCCGGGCGGAATTCTTTTGCTCGGGCGGCTGCTTGCGCCGAGGAACGCGTAGCCAAGGATCCTTCGCAATTCCTCCCCCCCAATGTACACACATCCTACGCCTTCCCTCCCCCGAGCGCCTATCCAACACCACCCCCACCCCCTCGCTTCCCCTATTCGCGGCACCCCTGGCCCACGCCTGGCTGCTCCCAACTGCAGCGCAGTGTATATACCCCGCCGCCGCAACCCCTCAGCCCCGTGTCCCGCCTGGACACCCTCTCTGCTTACCTGCCCGTAGTAGGGCTTCCTGAGCCAGGCCCCCGCGGAGACCCTCCTCGCCATGGTAATGGCATATCCCCGCAGCGGGCTGCAGCAATCGGAGGGAGGGTTTGTTTTTTTTGTGTGGGGCGGGGGTCGCCCGCCGGACGGATAACCGGACGGATAACCGGACGGCCTGAAGCCAAAAGCGGGTGAACGGCGGGCCGACCGGCGGCGGGCTGCGCTTCGCCTCAGCTCGCCCTGCCAAGAAAGCAGCAAAAAACGTGCCCGAGCGGGGCGGGCGGCGCCTCTCGCGCCTCTCCGCCCCGCCCCCTTTTCCCTCCCTTTGGCAACTGTCACAAAGCGCGGCTTTCTCGCGGCCTCAGCCTCCGAGGGGAGGGGCCGCCGGAGAGCAACTCCCCGGCCTGAGGGAGGAATGGAGGAGGCACCTCGGCTGCCGCTTCGGCCGGCGCGCCGAAAACCCGCCTGCGCTCGCCTTTCGGCTTCCCCCTCATTCTCCTCAGATTAAAAAAAAAAAAAGACCGGGCGGGGAGGGGGGGAGAGGCTTCCGGTTCTGGAGGGAGGCTTGGTTGGCGCGCCGCCCAGAATTTATCCCGCTGCCTCGCGCCTGCCTCGGCAGCGTCTCGTGAGCCCTCCAGGAAGGGGAGACGGTTGGGAGTGGGGGTGGGGTGGGGGGGGCTCCCTCCCGCCAGCCTGGGAGCGCTGCCGCTCTGCAGTGGGAGGAATCGTGCCCACCCGAGTCACGAAAACGCGTGGAGTGTGTGTGTGTGTGTGTGTGGGAACGAATCCCGCTGAAGTGGGGCGGGAGGGTCAGGTCCTTGGGGTTCGAACCTCCGACACTACTTTAAACGGGATCCTGAGCTTAACATGAGCAAGGCAGCGCCGTGTGCTGCTGGTGGTGCTAAAGAGGCTCGGGATCCATGCATGGAGTGGCGTGGGTGTGCTGGAGGTTGCAGGGATGCTCTCTAGCACTTTCTTCTTCTTCGCTATTTTTTTTTTTTTTTTAAAAAAGATGGTGTGGCAAGTGCTTATATGTGTGTGCTGTAGTGTAGTTGTATACTGCATAGATAACTTGTAATAGTTTAACTTGGTAAAGTTAAGTGGTGCTTAATTTCAAATAATTTAGTGTCTGGGTGACAGGTAAATATCACTTTGGGATGGTTTATGGTTTTATTATTTATAGGCCGCCCTTTTCCCTGAGGGGACTCAGGACGGCTTACAATATATAGGGAGGGGAGTACAAGACAATAAGACATAAAACAATACATAAGTAAAAATAGTACACAACATTCAGCATTCGGGTGGGGACGGATTACGATCTTTATCCCCAGGCCTGACGGGATAGCCAGGTCTTGAGGGCTGTGCGGAAGGTCTGGACGGTGGTGAGGGTGCGAATCTCCACGGGGAGATCGTTCCAAAGGGTCGGAGCTACTACTGAAAAGGCTCTCCTCCGCGTAGTTGCCAGTCGACACTGACTGGCGGATGGAACTCGGAGGAGGCCTAATCTGTGTGATCTAATACAGTGTTTTTCAACCTTTTTTGTGCAAAGGCACACTTTTTTCATGAAAAAAATCACGAGGCATACCACCATTAGAAAATGTTTAAAAAATTTAACTCTGTGCCTATATTGACTATATATAAAGTGTTTTTCCCACGGCACACCTTACACTATGTCACGGCACACTAGTGTGCCGCGGCACAGTGGTTGAAAAACACTGATCTAATAGGTCGTAGGGAGGTAATTGGCAGGAGGCGGTCTCTCAATATATGTGTGTGCTGTAGTGTAGTTGTATACTGTATAGATAACTTGTAATAGTTTAACTTGGTAAGCAAGTGGTGCTTAATTTCAAATAATTTAGTGTCTGGGTGACAGGTAAATATCACTTTGGGATGCTATGTGCAAACTGGCTGGTGCGGTTTAAAATGTCAGGTGAAAGGGTTTTTTTTGTTTTAAAGAAGGATCAAGGGCAGGTTTCACACATCCATTGTAGACTCTGTAGTACTTGCTGTCGTAAATATGTAATTTATACAACTTAATTGTATTGCTATGACTTAGTGCAGTTAATTACTTGTCTTTAATCTATCCAACCACCAGAGGCAGGCAGATAATAACATTAGTTAATATTTAAGAAATTCAGGGAAAGGGACAATTTGCTCATGGTGAACACACTGTGAACTAGCCTCTTTGTAAACATTAAAACAACATTTTGGTTTCCCCTTATAGCCTATCTATCCCTCCACCCCAAAACCTATCAAATATTTCTTAAGACTACTGCAAATCTGATTCATTTTTGGCAGGTTAGAAACTCATGACATCCCCTTTCAAAATAATATTCTGGCCCTAGTACATTGAAAGTGTGTTTGTGTGTGTGCTTCTGCGTATAATACTTTCACTATTGTGAAATACTTTCATCATTAGTGAAACAGATAGATTAAATCTAGTATTCTATAATAAAGCAACTCTCATGATTCAGTGTATCTGCCTCCTTTTGAATATACTGAATGAATCTGCTGGATATCTGTCATTTGTGCTTTCAAAATACCTGATGGAAATCCTGAATAACTGTTTTCTCCTGAAAACAAATGTAGGCTTCTATTTCACTCCAACAATTTTCCATTAATAATAGATATAAGGGTGATTAATCACAATGTGAGGTTTACTGATGAGTGAATAAAATTACACTCGTTTCCTTATATGTTCCCCATCCAAGCTTTTTACATCATTAATAAATATAATTGACACTGGCAGTTCTCAATAAGTTCTCAATGTACATTAGCAAGCCACGGTATAGTCTCAGTTTTCACATCTAACTTCTCTCTGAAACCCAACGTGAAATATTTCTTGCTTTTAATAAAGGTACATCAAAGGAGAGAAATGTATTCATGTTTATTTAAATGACAAATGTGAAGTTCAGGTAAATATAATCTTACCTAGATTTATAATCTAAGAAGAAATACCCTTCTAACCAATGAGAGTTTCCTTAGAGTGAAGTTTGACTCCTGGTTTCGTGAAGATGGTATGTATTAACCAGTTCCATCTTTTCTTTGCTTTTCCAGAATCACCAAGGTCAGCTAAATACCACTACCTACTCAACACCCATTATTACTAAATAAATGTAGATTTAGGTCAAATCAAGGTTAATGTAATTCACGGTATAGTTTCATCACGATAGGGCAAATGCATTAAAGCAATGAGAAATTAAAGAGGTGGCACAAAAGGAGGAAAATATATCTTCCAGAGATACTCTCCTCCTTTTCAAGAGGAATATTAACAATTTCATTTTTAAATTTTTATTAAAAACCAGCAAAAACATACACGAAGCACAGAATATTTTATTATTTACCTGAGCAGTTGTTGCCTGGAACAAACCCTACAAGGCAGGGTACAAAGGCAGCTTAATTTTACTTTAAGGATTAGCAAGTTAATTTTTATTTAATATTGATGAAGAAACCGCAGAAACTTAGGTAACCCAGGAGGCATGGCATGGCTACATAGAGGGATAGTATTAGTGTTAATTCTGATGTATTGTGAGAGGAAATTGGAAAGGGAAACACAGCATTAATGTAAAGAGATGCACACCAAATGTATATGTGAAACTAGATCACATTTTCACACATGATGGACATGATCTCCCTTAAATATTTATTATCACGTGTTAAAAGTATTGAAAATGTATGTAACATAATCAATTGTCAAGACATATGAATAGTGTCACTAGGAAAATCCATAAAGATCAATTCATAAGTAAGACTAAAAGTACTTTATTGTTGGGCAGGTCTTTGAGCCAACTTCAATAAAGGGCAAATGTTAATCTTCTCAGTGGAACTGTGGTGATTATGATGCAAATGTAGTAACTCAGGGTTCTAACAAATTCAATGCTATAATTTGCAGAAGAAAAAGATCTTAATGGTGTATTTTTGTGCTTATGTTAAATCATGAGTTAATTGATATACATCCAGGGCTTTCTGCGCAGTCCTTCAGGTTCCCTTAGTTGCTGCCAACTTTTCAGTAAATTGAAATTAAATTTTTAATTCAGTTTTAGTACAGGATAAAGTGGAAGAGGGGCAGCAGTGGAAAATCCATTAGGAAATTCTATATTCCATAATGTTGTCCTATCAAGATCATCATTTGCCGGCAGGGGTGGGGGCAGCAATACAGAATGAGCTTTACAACCCTGCACCCCCCCAGTCTTTCAAATAAAGCATGAGAGTTGCAGAATAGAGCAGTTTCTACATTTTATGCCTTGCATCAGTCATGATTTTGGGAAGAAATGAATTGTATGGAGCAAAAAACCTATGTCAGGACATTAAATTTTGCTTTTTTTAGACTTACACTTCCTGGACACTTAACTTTTATTCAGTCAGGCTTTATTATGAACGTAACACAGCAAATGGTAGGGTTTAATTGAAAAGAAACATAAAAATTTTAAAAAAGTGAACTTCTAAAAAGAGTTACAGAAATGTAAAAATAAGATGCAATTATAAAAGGTATATAAATTATAAACTAAAAAGTATAAAAAGCAAAAGTTTCTAATATTTATTTCTAATATGTTTTGTATCTAAACCTCAATTTATTTTATGTACATTAACTTCTTATCTTGTCCCAGTATGGATCTTTGTCATAACAATTTTTGAAAGGTTGAAGAAGGTTACTATGCTGTTTGTAATTTTATCTGGACTAAATACTTTATATCAATCATTTGTAATTTCTATGGGTATTTTGACTTTTTAAAATACAAAGGCAGTTTTCCTTTTCAATTTTTTAATGAATAGGATTTTTAAAATACTGCATACAATTGTGTTTTTCTTTCATTCTTCTTTTAAAAGATGTTGAGCCTATTTTTTCTAGCCAGACACCTCAATGCTATAAAAGCCAGAAGGTGGTTTTATAAAGTTAATTTTTCATCCTCAAAATCACTAGTTAATTAAGTTCAAGGTGTGAGATCTCTTTTTGTCTCATAAGCTAGAAGGAAGACAGATCAAGATATTCCGTTGCCTTAGAAAAATGGGTAGTGGCAGCCTTAAATTATCATCAAGCTGCAGTAAGGCGTGTAAGCAGGCCAGTGTGTATAAAACTCAGTGGAATTCTAGGAAATAAGGATTAAAATGCTCCACCATTAACATTAGGTACTCAGAAGTCTCTCTTGCTACACTTTCTAATTGGCAGAACAAAATAATTATTTTCTTGTGTGGGGAAAGATAATGCAAGACAAAAGAAAGGAAGGGCAGTACATGGT